TACCTAGTGTGGACAAAAGCTTTGCCGTAGGGACTTTTTTATGAATTAAAGAAGGGAGGGGGTTGGGTCACCCTACCCCAACTTTGGACCTCAATTTAAAAAGTTCCGTAACTTTACCCACCTGGGTCTTTGGGTCCAGGCAACCTTAGGCAATTGCCTATCATTTGTACCTAGTGTGGACAAAAGCTTTGCCGTAGGGACTTTTTTATGAATTAAAGAAGGGAGGGGGTTGGGTCACCCTACCCCAACTTTGGACCTCAATTAAAAAGTTCCGTAACTTTACCCACCTGGGTCTTTGGGTCCAGGCAACCTTAGGCAATTGCCTATCATTTGTACCTAGTGTGGACAAAAACTTTGCCGTAGGGACTTTTTTATGAATTAAAGAAGGGAGGGGGTTGGGTCACCCTACCCCAACTTTGGACCTCAATAAAAAAAGTTCCGTAACTTTACCCACCTGGGTCTTTAAGTCCAGGCAACCTTAGGCAATTGCCTATCATTTGTACCTAGTGTGGACAAAAGCTTTGCCGTAGGGACTTTTTTATGAATTAAAGAAGGGAGGGGGTTGGGTCACCCTACCCCAACTTTGGACCTCAATTAAAAAAGTTCCGTAACTTTACCCACCTGGGTCTTTGGGCCCAGGCAACCTTAGGCAATTGCCTATCATTTGTACCTAGTGTGGACAAAAGCTTTGCCGTAGGGACTTTTTTATGAATTAAAGAAGGGAGGGGGTTGGGTCACCCTACCCCAACTTTGGACCTCAATTAAAAAGTTCCGTAACTTTACCCACCTGGGTCTTTGGGTCCAGGCAACCTTAGGCAATTGCCTATCATTTGTACCTAGTGTGGACAAAAGCTTTGCCGTAGGGACTTTTTTATGAATTAAAGAAGGGAGGGGGTTGGGTCACCCTACCCCAACTTTGGACCTCAATAAAAAAAGTTCCGTAACTTTACCCACCTGGGTCTTTGGGTCCAGGCAACCTTAGGCAATTGCCTATCATTTGTACCTAGTGTGGACAAAAGCTTTGCCGTAGGGACTTTTTTATGAATTAAAGAAGGGAGGGGGTTGGGTCACCCTACCCCAACTTTGGACCTCAATAAAAAAAGTTCCGTAACTTTACCCACCTGGGTCTTTGGGTCCAGGCAACCTTAGGCAATTGCCTATCATTTGTACCTAGTGTGGACAAAAGCTTTGCCGTAGGGACTTTTTTATGAATTAAAGAAGGGAGGGGGTTGGGTCACCCTACCCCAACTTTGGACCTCAATAAAAAAAGTTCCGTAACTTTACCCACCTGGGTCTTTGGGTCCAGGCAACCTTAGGCAATTGCCTATCATTTGTACCTAGTGTGGACAAAAGCTTTGCCGTAGGGACTTTTTTATGAATTAAAGAAGGGAGGGGGTTGGGTCACCCTACCCCAACTTTGGACCTCAATTAAAAAAGTTCCGTAACTTTACCCACCTGGGTCTTTAGGTCCAGGCAACCTTAGGCAATTGCCTATCATTTGTACCTAGTGTGGACAAAAGCTTTGCCGTAGGGACTTTTTTATGAATTAAAGAAGGGAGGGGGTTGGGTCACCCTACCCCAACTTTGGACCTCAATAAAAAAAGTTCCGTAACTTTACCCACCTGGGTCTTTGGGTCCAGGCAACCTTAGGCAATTGCCTATCATTTGTACCTAGTGTGGACAAAAGCTTTGCCGTAGGGACTTTTTTATGAATTAAAGAAGGGAGGGGGTTGGGTCACCCTACCCCAACTTTGGACCTCAATAAAAAAAGTTCCGTAACTTTACCCACCTGGGTCTTTGGGTCCAGGCAACCTTAGGCAATTGCCTATCATTTGTACCTAGTGTGGACAAAAGCTTTGCCGTAGGGACTTTTTTATGAATTAAAGAAGGGAGGGGGTTGGGTCACCCTACCCAAACTTTGGACCTCAATTAAAAAGTTCCGTAACTTTACCCACCTGGGTCTTTGGGTCCAGGCAACCTTAGGCAATTGCCTATCATTTGTACCTAGTGTGGACAAAAACTTTGCCGTAGGGACTTTTTTATGAATTAAAGAAGGGAGGGGGTTGGGTCACCCTACCCCAACTTTGGACCTCAATAAAAAAAGTTCCGTAACTTTACCCACCTGGGTCTTTGGGTCCAGGCAACCTTAGGCAATTGCCTATCATTTGTACCTAGTGTGGACAAAAGCTTTGCCATAGGGACTTTTTTATGAATTAAAGAAGGGAGGGGGTTGGGTCACCCTACCCCAACTTTGGACCTCAATTTAAAAAGTTCCGTAACTTTACCCACCTGGGTCTTTGGGTCCAGGCAACCTTAGGCAATTGCCTATCATTTGTTCCTAGTGTGGACAAAAAACTTTGCCGTAGGGACTTTTTTATGAATTAAAGAAGGGAGGGGGTTGGGTCACCCTACCCCAACTTTGGACCTCAATAAAAAAAGTTCCGTAACTTTACCCACCTGGGTCTTTGGGTCCAGGCAACCTTAGGCAATTGCCTATCATTTGTACCTAGTGTGGACAAAAGCTTTGCCATAGGGACTTTTTTATGAATTAAAGAAGGGAGGGGGTTGGGTCACCCTACCCCAACTTTGGACCTCAATTTAAAAAGTTCCGTAACTTTACCCACCTGGGTCTTTGGGTCCAGGCAACCTTAGGCAATTGCCTATCATTTGTTCCTAGTGTGGACAAAAACTTTGCCGTAGGGACTTTTTTATGAATTAAAGAAGGGAGGGGGTTGGGTCACCCTACCCCAACTTTGGACCTCAATAAAAAAAGTTCCGTAACTTTACCCACCTGGGTCTTTGGGTCCAGGCAACCTTAGGCAATTGCCTATCATTTGCACCTAGTGTGGACAAAAGCTTTGCCGTAGGGACTTTTTTATGAATTAAAGAAGGGAGGGGGTTGGGTCACCCTACCCCAACTTTGGACCTCAATTAAAAAAGTTCCGTAACTTTACCCACCTGGGTCTTTGGGTCCAGGCAACCTTAGGCAATTGCCTATCATTTGTACCTAGTGTGGACAAAAGCTTTGCCGTAGGGACTTTTTTATGAATTAAAGAAGGGAGGGGGTTGGGTCACCCTACCCCAACTTTGGACCGTTTCCCTGATTATAATTCCAATGTTAAAATGAAATAGTTTGTATTGTTGTGATTGCATCCTCTTCTTGTTAATTTAAATCAGTGTAAAGAAATTGTTCTTCTGATTTCGGTTTTTCCGTCTGTTTCCCCATTTTTTTTTTAAATATGCCTCCTTGAAAAGCTTTGATTTGAAAATTTTGTCTGTTAAAGTAGCTAAAATCTTTATATCCATTCAGATATCGTGTCACGTGTGTCATTGTCACATAAAACCATTTCCTATTGAAATGTAATAAATAAATTGCCAGTTTTCAATCATTCCTAACGAAAACTGTGGATATTTATTAGCTTTTATTTCAACTTATAATTCTGACTGCAAAATTCTGTACTTTACGTTCCAAAATCGGTATTTTGTTTTCTTTTAAAAAGAATATAAGCATGTGGATTTAATTTTATCTTTACACTAGTTAAGTATGGTCTAATTTTTTTATTTATTCACTATTATCATGATTATAAAGGCAAACCGTTTCTACTCAAAGGTAATCAAAAAGGGGAGAGGAGAACCTAAAAGGAATTTTGAAAATCCTACAAGAGATGTCATGTGGTCAAGAACAATTATGTTGTCTTGAATATATAAATAAATAAATAAATAAATAAACAGTTTTCAATTAATAGTCTTTTTGAAAATGTATTGCATTTCGTCTTCCTACTGGAAATGATTGTCATCAGATTTCAAAGAACGTTTCATGTTATTGCAAGTCTTCGGTTTTTAGGCAAGATCAGTTTGGCGCGTATTTCTTATTGTTCGCTGGCTTATTGTTCGCTAGCTTGATACACCTTATTGTTCGCTGGCTTATTGTTCGCTAGCTTGAGTCTGGTGATCAGTGGAAAAAAATATCATTCGTCTTTCTTCTTCATTCAATGTACAATTAGTATGCATGGATGAAGCTTCAGAGATATTTAATAGATTTAATAAATTAGGGTCCATTTCAGATCGAATTAAGACGGCGACGTTTGGGTATAAGTAGTTTGCTATTTGGCAATACGGGCAATATTTGATAACTGTTTCCTCTGTATAACAGAATAAATCCACATTAGCAATTGATCAAAACATGAAAGCCTGCATAAATCTTTGATTTTGGTCTTTATCCTTACTGAAATTAACATTTCAGGGAATATACAGATAGTAAATAATAGAAGGTTTGTTAAAATCATGTACATGCAATTAAATGATTGTCGTTCATTGTTTTGTACATAATGTTATAGGCCGTGCAGTGAGCTGTACGTTCTTAAATCTACGTCATTTGAACTCTGTTGGATAGTTCTCTCATTGGTATTCACATCTTCTTGTCTTTACTATGCATATACTACTTAGATGCTATCAGCTCTTTGTGTAACAATTTTGCGATAGCATCTAAGTAGTATATGCATAGTTTTTCAATGCTCTTGAATTGGATTTGACCTTACAACTATTTTGATTCACGCGTAACTGATGCGTCTTGTGTTAAAGAAACGTGCGTCTGTATTACCACATAATAAGCCTTGTATTTGTAGTGAGTTTTTATGGTATTGTTGCTTGTAGATCTTCATTTTTAAACTTTTGCTAAAATTTTCATCATCCCGCATCTGCTCATGTAAGGTATGAACACAATTTAAGTACTAGTACACGTTTAATTAAAGAAACAGATCATTCATGAATTTACCACAAATTTGTCTGCATTTATTCCTGTGTAAGATGCCATTTGTTTTTTACCTACGAAGTGGTCATTTGTCGGTGAATGATAAAAGAGATAAAAAAATATCTCAATCCTTTAGCGCGTTCCTTTTTCATTACAAAAATCTCTACTTTTTCCAAGCTTTTTTATACTCAAAGTTATATTTTGTTTTACATTTGAACTAAATCATAACATATTTTGAACGAATACTTACACACTCTTTAAGTTTACCATCTTCTTTTTCTCTAATTTCTAAAAGATCAATACAAATAACACTAAACTTGTGTGGCGATAGTGAGTATATTAGACAATACCTGTAGTTGTCGTAATGTTCTTCACGGCATACTAGGAACTGGATGACTCAACGCGTTTTGGACGCACACAATTTATATAGTGTTATTACCATGACTTAAGTTCTACATTGGTCTATTTGAACGTTGCACAATATTGATGTGGTAAAAGGAAGGGGGTTGAAAATATAATACCACAATATCATTTTCGTAATTTCTATCCTCGTTTTTGATTTACAGCAAGATTAAAAATCTCAATTGATATTCACCAATCGACAACAATATGAACAGTTTTGGTTCATTATTAACACCAAATATCACAATTTGGTTCTTTCAAATACATCTTATATGGCGAGAAATTCAATTATAGGTGTATGTTAAAAACAGCTCGTCCTAGATATGAATGAAATATCCGGTAATGGACATTTAAAAATGCATCATTAATCATTAAACCTATATCTACAAATACGAATAATGATTCCTATGTCAGGGTTTCTTTTTTTCCTGTGTTGTAATTGTTCCTCTCGTAAGAGTGAGATAGGATTGCGCAATGTTTTTATAAAAAAAACGCTGTTAAGTGCAAAATTTGATTTCAGACATATCATCTGCTTAAACATTTTCCTAATAAATCAAATAAATTTAATTTAACGACAACATATTAAGGCGCTAAACACATACCCGGAAAGCACAATTTGTCTTTTATCCACTGTATGAACTTGTTGAATTTTACCCATAAATGTTTGTTCAAATCTTGGTCAAACTGAAGAACGCCTTTGTCTAGATCGCGCTTGACGTCGTTTAATGATATTGTCAACAGTGATATAAAAACGTTGACCAAAGTTATTGTCAAACTAAATGTATAGAGTCCAAAATAAAATTTGACTAAAAGGTCATCAAATGCTTCTGTATTATACTTTCTCATAGATAACAATACAGTTAAAAGTGTGTTCATTGTTTCAAACATGTTTTTGAACATTTCGTGTTTTCTTCCTATGGTGAGCCATATCAACGAGGCAAATGCAGTAAGTTCTAGAATTATTATCACCATGAAGGCTACAATTGCTCCTCTAGCAATCTTTAAAGATGAAACCATCGTGAAGAAATGGTAATTGAACTCAAGAGGTGATAGAAGATCCAAAATAATGATAAATAATAACATTGCTAGTGATCCTTGGTAAGCAGCGTCAAACTGGTAAACTTTTTCGAATGATATGTAACGACCTACAAAAACAAGATTTTAACACATAATTGTGTTTATTCATATCGAGTTTGAATAATTTCAGACATAGCAGTACTAGTAAAAGAGTATTTTAAAAGAATTAACATTTTTCTTTTAATCAGACAAAATAATTATTTAAACTTGCTAAAAATATCACAAATATCAAACTATAAAATTATTGAATGTAGAAGACACATTCATGTGCATAGCCAAGTAAACGATTATATGACTGAAAACATGTAGACAGAACACAAAATAATAAAGATAATCAGATTTAGAGACATATACTAGTAAACAGAGTATGGGGTAGCTGTTCATGATACATCACTGTCAAAAATTGGTTTAACAGGCAAGGATTTAAATTAAACTTACCAACACTTTCTCTAAGAGATGTGATAACAGAAATCGTAGCATCAATCCTTAAGATATAGCATATTATGGCAACTGCACCAAAAAATAACTCCAAGAATTTGGAATACGTGTGAACGATTAAAAATGCATTCATCCGACAGCGGATTAAGTATACAAGGAACAGTACAAATCGAACACACAAAACTAGCACGAAAATTATCTGTAGCACTAATACAACAAAGTCTAAGGAAGACTGGTATGGATAAAAACTAGCAGACCATACATGTTTGGTTAGTGTAATACTCCCTGTAGTTGGTAATTCAAAGACAAGTTTGATTTGACTAAATAATCTTGAGTTTGCGTTATAAGTCACTAAATCTAAGAATAAAACTCTTGTCCTGTAATCTATCCAATCATGTTCGATAAGTTCATCAAGGTATTTCGATACCAGACTTTGCTTTGGACCAAGATCTATGTAATAGCCACCAGGTCCATATGTACCATGTTCTCCGACAAAAATCAAATCTCCAGCTGGATCAAGGTCATCAAATCGCGAATTTAAGAAACTATAATGAAATTCTTCATTTTCGTCAAAGCAATCTGATTCATTAAAATCTCCCCAAACTGAAAGAAAAAAGAAAGGAAATCAATTTCAACCTAAATAACAGTTTTTTTTAAAGAAATTAATAAGGTATATGAAACTTAAAATATTGTTTGCAAGAATATAAGATATCATTACTTATAATCCATAGATGTTCCTCATTACTGTATGCTTTATACAGATTAACTTGTAATATGTAAAGTAGAAGATATGGTATGATTACCAATGAGACTCTCTGTCAGAGACCAAACGTCGTAAAAGTTGGCAGTTATAGGTAACCGTACAGCCTCCAACAATTAGCAAAACCCATACCGCATAGCATGCTATAATCTTTTATATTGTTCGTGTTTCATTTAAACCTGTATATAACAGTTGTCATTCAAAATCGTTAATGAATTCATTAAAAAAATAGGTTGGCGTTAAATCGATTTAAGATATGCTACTAAGCCCTTTTTCAACTGATTTTTATAGTTAGTTCTTATGTTGTGCTGTTACATCACTGTCCCAGGTTAGGGGAGGGTTGAGCGCTAACAAAACATGTTTAACCCCACTACTTTCTTTATGTGCCTGTCCCAGGTCAGGAGCCTGTAGTTCAGTGGTTGTCGTTGGTTCTTGTCTGTCATATTTGTTTATAAATTAGGCCGTTAGTTTTCTCAATTGAATTGTTTCAAATTTTTTATATAGGGGCCTTTTATAGCCACCTATACGGTATGGGTTTTTCTCATTGTTGAAGACAGTACGGTTGCCTATAATTGCTTACATCCACTTTATTTAAACTTTGGTGGATAGTTGCCTCATTGGCCACCATACCTTATCTCCTTATTTTCATACTCAGTTTTTTTAAAACATTTATAAAAATCAATTGCAGCACATACATGGGCAAAAGTTGGCAGTCTCTTCAGTTTCTTCAGAATAGGATGGCACACATCTCCGAATAGTATCTTGCGTGATGGCTGGTCCTGTACAATTACCTATAATGTAATAACTATTCGTATAACTATTTATTAATTTGAAGTTGTTGGCTGTTTCTTTTTTAGCCTTAGTTCAATTTATTCCCAAATGGTCCAAATTCGGAGCTACTTTAATTCTGAAATATGGAACGGACTCTTGTACTTAAAAAGAAGACATGTTTTGAACATCAAATGTCTTTCTTGTTATTCGATTGTTTTTAAATGAATTGTATATCCCACATGTTTTATAGTCATGTTACAAAATAAAGATATATTTTCAACGGGAAGCTAATAGAAACGATTCATAACAAATGCCAATTAAAAATAAAATGCAACAAAATGAATACCTTTTACTCGTAACTGTCTTAAGCGTGTTAATGTCAGACGATAGTTATATGCATTTAGAAGAAATCTCTGAATATATGCGGGTCTCAGTAATTCATCATTTTCTGTTTCCCACCACTTTGGATAAACAGCTCGAGAAAATGTGGTCTTAATGAAATCAGAAATCTCACTAGACGAATTCGGCTGCAATTAAACAAGTTTTAATAAATATAAGGTTAGGTCGTTAATGTCTTAGTACAATATGAACCATCATTATGTCTAATATGCAGTAAGAAACTAAATTGTAGACATTTTGACAAAAACCAGTAGCACACAGAAAATAATGTTTGAGTCATATCCGCATATTTGATTTTTATCCAGATTATTTATATGTGGCATTGGGCTATTAAATATGAAAGCTCTGTGATTTGAATTGTTAGCTTAAGACAATTGCTACTATGACATTCTCTGTTTACATCCAAACCAGTTGATCGCTCCTCTGTGCTCAACGCTTCCATTTTCGTTTTTCATGTTCGACTGCGTTTTCTGGTACAGACTCTGTTATTTTTTATAAAAAATATATGGTCGGGCAATTTTCATGAATTTGATATCTATTCAGTTAAGTTGGTTTTGTATCTTTTATTTTTTTTTAAACCATGCCGTGAATTTAAATCGACCAAAAAAATAACGCATGACAACTTGTAACATGAAAACAAGACTGAAAATTACCTAAAACACATTTTAAATGTCTTACCGTATTGATCGTAGAGAGAGTATTTAAAATATGTTCGTTTTGCAGATATGCAGAGGAAACATCATTATGTGAACATATTGCTGCAATAAGTGTCACATAAAGAAATATTCCAATCCAAGTGCGTGTTTTGGCCCATAGTCTTTTGTCTAATTGAACAGTTTTACGGAAAAGTATTTGCTCTTTGGTCTCATTTTGATTGCCAGGAAAAAGGGGATATTCAGCTCTATTGTGGTCATTCTTTGTGCTGACCTCCATATGTACATCTGTAATAAAACATACAACAGTCTCTGATGCATGATTTTTTATTATTAATTGTTTTGGCTTTTAACTAGCTGTCAGTAACTGCGAGTACTCTCAAATCGTACTTTCTTTTTAATTTGACCTGTTGATACTATTTGTAATGCTTTTTTGTTATTTAATGTTAACATGGATCTTGTCTATATACCAGCTTTGATTATTTGGTATTACTACAAATTTTCACTTCTTCGTACTATGAACATCAAAATTATTTCATTTTTCCTTAGATGCTGTTCTTGGACCTGTACAGGAAGTTTTATCTAGCACTAATTGTATAGTTTTATTGTTGATATTCACCCCATATGTACTAAGTGTTAGATTTGTTTTATTGATATTAAAGAAATTTCTTGGTATTCCTAAACGGAAGATTTTATACACACAGAAGAAGAAGTATACTTAACAACAAAATTATTTTCATTTACCTGTGTATAATATGACGCAGGTTTCTTCAAAAGTGATGATTTTCTAAAAATTGTTTGACATTTCACAGTGATATCATACTTTACTTTGTTTAAACCTGTTTATTTACTTTTGACTTAAATTATTTATCCCTTGTAATTTTTTTATTAACTGTGTATTTGCATTCAGGTGTCACAGGTCAAATTTATTCGTTCATTGTGTGTTAATTTACATTTTTTGATTGAGTTAAGCCTTCCAATTGATATTTTATAGTGTGTTTTTCTATGTTGTGATGTTATACTAGTGTTTCAGAAAAGGGAGAAGGTTTGGTACCATTAAAACGTTTAATCCCGCTGCAAATGTTTGCACCTGTCCTAAGTCAGGAATCTGATTACAGTAGTTGTCGTCTGTTTATGTAGTTCATACGTGTTTCTCGTTTCTCGTTTTTATATAGATTAGACCGTTGGTTTTTCCGTTTGAATGGTTTTACACTAGTAATTTTTTGGAGCCCTTTTTAGCTTGCTGTTCGGTGTGAGCAAATGCTCCGTGTTGAAGGCCGTACCTTGACCTATAATGGTTTACTTTTATAAATTGTAACTTGGATGGAGAGTTGTCTCATTGGCACTCATACCACATCTTCCTATATCTACTAACAGTGCAATATTTGCTAATCAAAGCAGAATCTCTAAATAAAACTAAAAAGATTTGAAACAATCGACATCACTTTGGGTTAGGAAATATATATAGCGCCTGCATATTGTGGATATATCTCAAAATTGATACGATATTCAAGAGCATGAGTTTTCTATCATATTTTCTTTGTTACAGGGCTGCTGCTTACAATTAGACTTATCACCAAGTTTGTACTAACATGAGCAACACAACGTGTGCCACATGTGGACATGGATCTACTTATCCTTACGGAGCACTTGAGACCACCCGTTTTGTTTAAAAGGGGTTTGCTTGCACTTAGTTTTGTGTTGTTTTTTTGGTTTTTTGGTTTTAATTTTTAATCTCTTTTTTTCAAGGTTACAATCTTGTCTTTTTGCGGTACCAATCTTGTCTATACTTTGGCATGAAAAAAGTGTTATAGTTCTAAAATTTTCCTGACCAATGAGAAATTGGTGATGTCTTAGTATAGGATAAAAATTTATAACCAATTCGCTATTGCCTGATGCCTAATCACTTCATATAACATACAACGTATTTCATAGGAGTAACACGACGGAACGACATGTGGAACTGGATCTACATCCTTTCCGGAACACCCGAAAGAACCCTGGGGTGTTTTGCACAGTCTTTAGTTTTCCATGGCGTTGTTGGTTTGTCTCCGACTTTATGAGTTTGAATATAGCTTTGGTATATTCTGTCTCTCTATTACAGAGGCAGTATAATGAAATTGTACTGCTTTCGTTATAAGCGTTAAATAAAGGTAACAGTAGTATACCGCTGTTCAAAAGTCATAAATCGATTAAAAGAAAACAAATCCGGGTTACAAACTAAAACCTAGGGAAACACATCAACTATAAGAGGAAAACAATAGAAATCATTATGAAACTAATCTGCAGTTAATTGTTAATTCTCAGGAAATATGTCTTTTTTCGTTGACGATTAATTCCTTCTGAAGCAAATTATGTTCACTTAGTTCCATTTAATTAACCCCTCTTAATACTAAACATGTCAAACTGATCACAGAAAACTTAAGTCCATTTGTTTTCGGAGTTGCTAAAGTTAAATAAGTTGCAATATAAAATACTTTTTTGAAATTAAATAAAAAAAGTTATTCATATTTACCGTACTTCAGCGTATGGTTTTGGTAAATCAGTTCAGTATTCTTTCTTACCCATTAATCTTTAGTTGACAATTTGTTGGGGTTATGGATGGGATGTTGTATAACATCTCCTTATGTTCATATTGCCATTTTAGTTTGGTTCTCAAATTATCGTTATTAAATACGATCATGAAAACTTAAAAACAATCATTTGGAACTTTTGAATGCAATGAGCCCACTCTGATATCAAATATTGATCATTTCAAAGTAAAGAATTACACAACTAAAAACAATTATATGAATATGTAAATAATGCATCATTACAACCTGCTGACAGTGAAAATTTAAACAAATCACTTAGTTTGGTTCACACCAAATGTTGCGCACTGTAAAATTGTTTTCAATTAGTTGTATGTAATGAATATAAAAATATGGAGATGTGGTATGACTGGCAATGGGACAAACTCTCCAACAGAGACAAAATGATGTAGAAGTTAACACACTGTTTTCACATAAAACAATTTCTCATCTGTACATCGTTTAATTACCTTTACAAGAGAATTATTCAAGCGAGTAATCTAGAAGCAACGATATATAAATGAACATCACATATAATTGAATTGAAAACATCTCTATAAACTTCTGCATCATTTAGGCATATACTAATTCATCTTTTATTGGGGGAATGGGTGGGATGATGGGAACGTAGTAGAGTTCAATTCAAGTGTTTGTGACAACAACACCACACCGAGTTTAGCTCAATTTTAACACTGCTTAGTATACAATATAAATAGTAATGAATGTTTCCTCTTTTTTGCTTAAGTCTTCAGTTTTGTATTTTGTGCTATTTTATTTTAAACTGTTTGTGTTATCTTTACCTGTAAAAGTCTTGTTTATCGCTTGTCCTCAATAAAAAAAAACTCTTTTCATTTTATTTTTTACTCGGCTCCGTTATGGGATTAGAGGAGTTAACTACCCATAATTTGGTTAGAAAAAGACACATTTCTTATTCCCCAGTTGCCAACTGTCTAATCACTGGGCATGACTAATCAATGTATCAAAACAAGAGTAACGTAGCAGGTGTCATTAGTGAAGAGAAATTTGAGAATGAAAGTCCGTATAACTGTTATTTTCACGAAATGTTCAAAGTCCAAAGACTGTAATATTTGCACACATCAGCGGAGCGGAACCAAACGTAAACTCGATCTGTAACTCATCATAGTAAATTCACATACTAAAAATCAGTCCAATATGTGAAGGCGTTTAGAAAAAAAAGTCCATGTAACTGTTATTTTCACGAAATTTTCAAAGTCCAAAGCCCGTAATTTCGACAAAAATCAGCGGAGCGGAATCAAACGTAAACTCGATCTGTAACTCATCACAGTAGGGTCTTTTATAGCTGACTATGCAGTATGGGCTTTGCTCATTGTTGAAGGTGACCTGTAGTTGTTAATTTCTGTGTCATTTGGTCGCTTGTGGAGAGTTGTCTCATTGGCAATCATACCACATCTTCTTTTCATATTCACATACTAAAAATCAGCTCAATATGTGAAGGCGTATAGAAAAAAGTCCGGAAAACTGTTGTTGTGAAATGACAGAATGACGGATAAGGGTAAAAACTATATGGCCCCGACTACTTTGTGGCGGGGCCAAAAAAGGAAAGAAAAAAAGAATATAATTAGTAGGTGTAGTTTAGTGGCAAATAATTAAACCCATGAACATGCTCACCTTGTCCTGAGTTGGCATTGCTAAAGTTGTCTCCACTTGGTATTGGTGTTGAAAGATCGCATAATTCCTTGCTTCCAACACGTTTAAATACACAAGCTATCACTGCAGCTATCATTATGGCCTGAAATACGTCATTTACAAGACTGCATGACATAATTAACGTGGACTGATTTATGTATTGATCCATTTGATTAAAACCTTTAAAAATAATGTTTATGAAATTATGTGCTGTAACATCACTGCTTGTGAACTATTCTTATAATCATGAGTTCGTTCGGTTGCTATTCATTCTGACAATAAATCTTAAATGTGTCGCACAATTCTTTCATGGATACGCGTTGTGATAGATTAATTATTATAACGGATTTTGTTCTGTTACTACTAAAAACAAAAATACTCCCTCATAATGTGAATACTAGTAATCTTTGTAACACTTATAATACAGTATATCGAATACAATTTACATATATTTAGTTACCGCAATATTCTGAGATATCGATAGTTATATTCAGTCTAATATATATATATATATATATATATATATATATATATATATATATACAACCAAGTCTAAATTGAAAACAATACAGCACAAACAACATTTTCCAAAATACCAAAAAAGTGAAAAAGTATATTTTAACAAAACGCATTTGACTAGCAGGTCAAACAACAGATGTTCTTAAACCCTGCTGACTGCCATGGCGATTGCCAAATAAACGGATCACCAGATGTAACAAAATGGATCTTAATTATTAATTTAATACCAAACAGAAAACAATCTTAACAATCTTAATTGGCTTACTGATAACTTTATTATTGATACTAAACTATTAACTTGCGGAGACCTTGAACTTTCGAATGAACAAAATCTCCTAATTTTCAAACATGTTCAAAATTTTATTAAAAGGTCTAACAGATTTTTAGTACCTTCATAAAGTGTTATTGCTACCGGCACGGGTGATCATCACCATCAAACCTAAGTCATCATGACAGAAAATATGATTTGCATCCTTTTTCTTTTCCTCCTTTTCCATTCTTCTTGTTCTTTTCTTCTTTTTATTTATAGTTCGTATAATATCTAATGAATTTGTTCGCTTTACATGCATGCTCATAATGTTATTAATGTATATATACTTGTATTGTAATATGGTGAAGACTTCATAAGTATGATTTACTTTTGTCTCATCCATTTTGCTGATATTTAGCAAATAAAATATGTTAAAACTAAGAAAACAATAAACTTGCGGAAAAGATTGTATACCACAAACATAAGGTGCAAAAATTGGTACACCATATCCGGATTTCGACAATTAATGTCTCTTCGGTGATGTTAGGAATCGAAACGGTATTTGGAAGGCTATACAATTTACCTCAATTTAGGAATGACTCATGAATTTTGAAGAATCGAAATAGGATGAACGGATTATAGAAACCCGAAGGCAAAAATAATACCAGCCCAAACGAAAAAATATAAACAAGTCTCAATTGAAAACAACGTTCAAACCTATGATTGCGTTGGATAAAAACCGCAATTTTTATACGTGTGCATGCAAAACAAATTTCTTGGTAGAGGGGTCTAAATACAGCACAACATATATATATATTCAAATTTACGGATAATTATAATATTCCCATTATGTTAAATTATGTGGCATTGTTTGTAATATTGACTGTCAGTAAAACATATTTTTTACCTTTAATGGCTCCAGTATCAGAACACTTTGACATACAGAGAGAAGGAACGATATCATCCATTCCAAGGTTTTATCTCCTCCCCATTGAAGTGAATACAGGAACACAAATGTACCACTTATCACGACACATAACACAATCAGTGCATAAGCAATGAAGATAAACCACCATGGTATATAACATCCCTGACATACTTCACCTTGAAATTTCCTTTTTCGAAAAATTAGAACCAAAACTATGCTTGGTATTAAAGCTACTAATCCAGACATAAGTCCAACATAAAATTGCTTGAAATTCAACTTGAGCGGTCCTAAAATTATACTCTGTGTCGTTTCATCATCTGGTATGTCGTACCACATAGCTGATGATACCATTGAGAGAAAAAGAATCGTTGTCAAGCACCATAGTCGTTGAACCCTTGTAAATCGGCTAAACTGTGGTCTTTTGACAAGGGAAACCCACAAATAATCATCAAATAACTTTCGTCGACTAATGTTATAAAACAATGTATCTGTTTCGACCACATCTTCATTAAACACATTTAAGCTGCTCCATATCCGTCCATTTTCGCTTTTTAGTGATAAAACTCGTCCACACAGAAATGTATACCTGTGCCATGTAAATATGGTATGGTTATACAAAATATCTCTTCTGCTTATCTTTGAATGATGTATTTATTCATTAAATGTATGTGACAAGTATGTTATACAAATATTCTTATATTGCAAACTATGATATGTAAGAGAGATTGCTTTTATGAAAGTTTCAAAAAGTAATACTTTTACAGAGTAAAAACATAAGATGTCTAGCTTAGAATTTATGATTTAGATTTAAAAAAATGTAAACTGAATAATAATTTTAATCATTCAATATCACTTTTTCAAAGGAAAAATTACTCCGTGCAAACATGGTAAATACATGAGTGTAAGAAAATGATGTCATTCTTCTTATTTGCTTGGGTGTTCTCTCACTATAGAGTCTGGTATTGTACATGTTGTATACACTTAAGCACTTTATATATGATAATTACCGTTGAAGAGTATTTGCTTTTATAATAGATACTTTACGGAGATGCCATTCCGTATGACCATCAGTATTATCATGCCATATCTGTATTTTTTGTATATGTCCTACGTCTTCTTCTAGTTTCATTGTAAAGTGAGATGTTGTTCCATTCTTGAAATTCTAATAAACAAATGCTAAATTATAAGCCCCATTGGAAGGTACAAAGAGGACATTTAACGATAAAAGACTGCTACAACATGTCGCTAATGAGTAGAGACAGATATATTGTATAGGTCAACAAATTCGCGATGATGACCGTAAAACATATTTGGTGTTCATTTCAGTCGTTTTCCTTATAACTCCTTGGGGGCAGGTTTTTCTTAAGAAGCACACAACTGCTAAAGAAGTATATATAGTGTGAACATGCACTAGCGTAACGTGATATTGATTAAAAGAGTTCAAACTTTATAAAATACTGTCCATTACGTCGCGCGATGTAGACACGATGTTCAGAGGGGAACACGATGTTTTATAATGACACGTGTGTTAATTTCATCCTATCAAATCTTTATAATCTTTCAATATCTTCATACATTGGAATAACATATAGATAATGAAATAAAAATAACACTTTACACCTTAGGTTCTTTATAATTTCTTTATTTATAAACGGCCAATTTATTAAAGATATGATGTAAATCATGCAAGTCCTTGTAGTATTGTTTTCAAAAGGACATGATTTGCTCTTCCAAAATTTCCATACATTAGCTTAAAAAAAACTTGTTTCATATTTCATTTAATATAATTTTGTAACTGTTTTGTTTCTTCCTCTTCTTATGATGATAAAAGGGTTGAGTAGTCACACATATTTGTTATCCGCGCCATATATATATATAGGTGTCTATATGTTTTCATCATCTAGCGTTTAGGTAAATCTTCAGTTAAATTCATTAGTACATTGATCGTATTAGCGGAAAAATAACAAAGAGTGAGACAGCTAAGCCTTCAATGATATGAAAAAATTATATCACATAATTGCTTATAGAGTATTAGTACTCACCTTGCGGATCCCGTCGTCCATTTTGCGTGTCCCAGAAAAGCCGTTTTGTCCAATTATATTAAGAAATACAGAGGATTTCATTTCTCTGCTTGAGTTTACTGACGTTTCAATTGTAACAAAATATACCACGGAAAAATCATATGGATTGTCTTTCAAAGGAAGAAATTCCCACTGAAATTATTTTTAGAGTTATCTAAATGACCACTTGTAAAATTAAAATTTACAATTTATTCATTATTAAGCTAGCTTTCCCTGGAAGTAAAACAATAAAATAATTATAAAGTATTCTCGTTCAACCAGAATCAATTATGAAACTGGATTGTTTTATATCACTGTTTACAACAAAACTGGATAAGCAATAAACGGAAATGTATCGACTAACAAAAAAATAGAGAATAGTACTGATACAATAATATGTGTCTTTAGAAATTAGGTACGGCATTATGTTAATTGTAACAATTTTGAATTTAATCTATCCTAGAATTCCAATAAAAAAGGACAAATAAGATATCCATCTTTGAAACGTGTTTATTGTATTAATTCAATATGTCATTTCGATAATTGAAAAGAATAAACAGGTGCATGAATTGGAATTGAAAAAACAGGATATATGTTGAAAGCAATATAAAGTATTCTCATACTATTTTACCTACATCTTCCAACATAAACATAATTATTTGTGTGCTACATTTTCAATGTACGAAAACAACATATTCATTAATTTTTTTGACATATGATGCTTTAAAAGTGGGGAAGTAATTGAAAATAACTAATCAACAAATTAAGCATATTTTTTTCAATCAATGATTTTATCAAACACATACAATTTAACGTATACAAAACAAGAGGGACTTCAAGCGAAGCTCACAAAAGGAAGAACTTTACAGAGATCGATCTTTATTGCTATAAATGTATGTAACAGAAGATTTTTGTAACTACTGAAAGCCAGCTATGGTGTTCGGTTGGTTCTTTTTTTTTTATAAATACTATCATTATTTAAAGGTCAAACTTATCGTAAACTTACCATGATTTTATCACTTATATCTAACCATCGTAATTTTATCGTCAGTAAACTACCAATAACTAACATGGTAATAATCGCAGCCAAGGCATAAGGGCTATCAACCAATGATGTGGTGAAAGTGGCAAATATCTTCGAAAAATCTATATCACTTGGAGGAATGAAAAATACGTCAGCAGAAAACGCACCAAGGAAGTTACTTTTGAATTTTATTTGGTTGTCTGAAGTTCTCAAGTCCTGGAATAATATTTTGAAAAGTACACATGAAATTATAAAACGCATTACATAAAACATTCAACTTTCTTAAATAGGAACAAGCCTTCTGAGGGTATTGCATATGCAATACAATATTCCTTCCAGCATTAATATTTACAATTATATCTATATTGAGCAAAAATAAAGGTGTTACTGATGTAGTAATGAATTTCAATCTGATAGCTAATTGAATCAGAACATTTATTAAAGATAACGATATTCCAAATATATACTGGTCCAACCAAATCCACGGGGAAACCATTTTAAAGCAAATTTCACTGTTATTGGGCAACAACTTCAGCAAGAACTATTGAACTGGATCACGACTTGAATGAAAATACGGTTATTATTTGATTGAAATTCTGCTATAAAATTTGGAAACTCATTCTAAATTTAGGAATATATGTCCCTTCCAGCAGGTTGTCGGCATTTCTATGGAAACCAACTGTACACCTCTCCTGGCCAACCTTTTTTTTTATATGAGTCGGAGTTTTTTCAGACACTTGTAGAAACAAGAATATCAAAGAGACTAGATCACTTTATTTCACATACAGATATATTTGTTATGAATTAGAAGCTCTTTCGTAATATAAGTTCAAATTGGAAAAAAATATTCTGTGAAAAAATTGCCACTGGAAAAAGTATTATAGTATTTGTTCCTAACACAATAAAGGATATAGAATATTTGGGCCAATAGGGACAGATATATAGCCTTATAAAAAGAAGATGTGGTATGATTGCCAATGAGACAACTCTTTACAATACACCAAATGACACAGAAATTAACAACCATAGGTGACTGCACGGCCCTCAACAACGAGCAAACCCCACACCGCACAGTCAGTCACACAAGGCCCCGAAATAACAAATGCAAAACAACCTAAACGAGAAAACCAACGGCCTAATTTATGTACAAAATAATTAACGAAAAACAAACGCACAACACAGCAACAAACGACAACCATCGAACCACAGGCCACCCACCCGGGACAGGCACAAACACAATGCGGCAGGGTCAAACAAGCCTTGTTTATAACAAAGTTTCCATGGGAACTTCTGTTAGGCGGAACAAATAAACGTTGACGTATTGATAAAGTTTCTTTCTTTAACAATCCAAACTTTTTTTATTGAGTTCCATTAAAGGGGCACTATCAGTCAAATTCATGTTCACCGATTTGACTCAAATTCTCATATTTGATTTATAACAATGTAAAACATTTATCCAAATCATAAAAAGTCTAAAATAAACAATATACCGGGCATGGGCTCGATAATATGTAGCTTCGTTTCGTGTGTATTTTAGTCTACACGCCATCTAAGTAACTGTCGAGTTGACCTCCGAACACCTCCGATTGCCATATAAGCGATATAAACATAAATATAAATATAAATAGATATCAGACTCGTGCATTTCGATTTTTCTAGGTCTGTTTAATTTCATATTATAGATTAATCATGGTTTTTACCTGTATAAGAATGATTTTTTGTGGATCGAATCAGTCAATCAAATGATTTACCTTTGTTTCACTTTCAATGTTGACATTCTTTTCATTTAGATAATTGAACACGCACAAAGCATGCGGTATCCATCTCTAGCTCAGGGGTTAAATTGAAGTTCACATGAATACGGATCGGATTCAATGAGGTCGAATTATTCACTTGCAAGTGAATAATTCATCATCAATGTTTCTTATCTTATTTTGACAAAATTGAACCATACTGGCTGCTAAAAGCGATATATTATTTCACTATTTCACTTTCATTATTGATTGAACAAAAACAATCATGTTTAATATTTTTTATATATCTCGTAGCTAGTGCCCCCTTTAATATATCCTCCTGAACTAGAGATTAAAGAAACCACAGATACAGTTTCGTTTGCATCATTTTTAGACATATACCTCGATTTTGACTACAGACATTATTTCAGTTCCAGAATCTATGACAAACGAGACCATTTCAATTTTGAAATTATTAGTTTTCTTCATCTTAGCAGCAATAAACCAACTTCACCTGCGTATGGAGTATACATTTCTCAACTCATACGATAGTCAATTGCTTGCATCTACTACTCAGACTTTGTAAAAGGTCATCGTTGTCTGAGCCAAAAAAAAAAAATACGCCAGGGTTTTCTCAACGAACGTCACGTCCTAATCTAAAAAGGTTCATCGGAAAGTAGTGCGACCTAATAGATAAATATTCAATATCTATTTTTTTTTAATAAAAACAATGTTATTTCGTTTTCAGAGAAAAGACCCTTGATGATCAATGCTTTTAAACAATAGGCATGTTATCCTGCTTCTAGTCGAAGTTCTTAATAACATTTGTATATAAATGATATTAAAAACACATTTGTTTTTACAAAAAATGTGTTTTATGCAAGGACAAAAAATTTAGAAAAGTAATCTAATGTAATTGATTACATTTGAATTTAGGTGGAATTGTAATTTAATCGATTATATTTGATTAGCAAGGTAATTGTAATTTATTAGTACTCAATTGCATTTTAAAGTGATGACCCTATCCCTGATAGAAACACAAATAATCTCCATTCGGAAATAATTTCCTTTAATTTACATCACAATTACCTCTTTGCGTTCATTTGCTGTCCAGTTTTCGAAGGTTTTGAACAAAGTGGAAGAGGATACATAGCTTGTTCTGAACTTATGTGTCACTGTAAGTAGTATAAAATATGATTATGAGTGTTAATCCCATTCTGACTACATTAATCTTTATTTTCGACCATACCGGTCAGTCAATAAGGGATGATAGTAACGTGTTGCTAAATGGCTTGGTCAATAAATATCCAATACTCTTATAAGTTATTTTTGATGACACACAAAATTGAGACAGATATTATCGGTGACAATGAAACTGTATTCAATTGTTCAACAGTTATTATAACACATAATTCATATCGCATCAGGCTACATGAAAATAAATGCTTCTTTCGGTCATCTTCGGATTCACATAGAAACGTTTAAATTCACATTTGTCTATAGACATTTTACCACCCGTTCCATTATCTCCTATGTCTATGACCTACTAAAACTGCTATACTTCATGAACAGTTTCATAGATAAGTGACTTTCTCGACACTTTTCGTGACTGACTTTTCAGAAAGAGAAATAAAAAAATGTGACCGACTGTCTTTTATGAAAATATTGGTGAATCGCCAGTTGATATAATTAATATACATTACGTCTTTTTGTAATTCTGCAGATTATCAAGTTTTGTTTAAGACGATTTATTAAAATGACGTGTAAAGACATAGATATTGGCGATTCGAGTTCTCTTTGCAGCTAAATCGAAAATACAATTAAGACCAAATCAGTATTTGCAATGAATGTAAATTATCCTAATGAAAATTTGAATTAAATACACAATGAACTTATATTAGCAAAATGTGTCAGGTATCTCATGTATTCATCTTACCTAGTGAAATTGATCTCTTCTTCCGTGTGTTGCCATCATATCGGTCATCTGAAACAGGAGTAGATACATGTGAATGAAAACTCTTTACGATCATTGATTTAATTTTCGTTTTTTTGCAAAGACTGTAGTTTGATGAATTAAAATGCCAATTCAAAGTCTTGCTTATTAAAGTGAACGTGTGCATTGTCGGTTCCAAATGAGTTCGAAATATAAGTTTAGTTAACAATTTTAACACAGTCGAATCTCTATTCCAATTAAGCAAAATTTGCACGTCATCAACAAATGAAGTATACATCCTCTAAGTTTGGTTCATACGAAGATTTCCTTGACAGTTTACTAGTGACAAAACGGCTTATGAACCTTGGATCTTTAATGTTAATATGTTCGTATTTAAGGACGTCATCATGGTTCATGTAACCGTTACAGTTATATCTTTATAACAAGTGTGCATAGATACACGACAATTTATAGCAGCCACATCGTATCTTCCTTTCCTTGCTCACGACCTCTCACCTCATACTACTCACAAAAAATCAGACAGGAACCATTTTTGTGCACAAGAGAATGCCATTATTTATGGTTTAATTTGATATTAACAATGAATAAGGCATAAAAGATGTTCACCGATGTTCAAATCCCATAACTTTATTTAGAATCTAAAAACAAAACCTGAGTGTATCGAATGAACCCAAGTCGGAGCAAACCGAGTGCATCCACATCAATCAATAATACTATCACAATTACTCAGTTTGTTCAGTTTTATATTTTAAGAATATTAGGGCATATTTCTAATCAGATTACCATATCCGAGCTAGTATATGAAATTTAATCTTAATGACTATAGTGATAAATACATACCTTCACAACTTGCAGTTACAACTAATGGTTTCATATACCTATTTGTTGGATTAGACAATAAGGTTATTTTCAACGACTGTTTATAATAGCTTGCTTTAAGTTTTAATGGATCACGGTAGATAATTCTACTTCGCCCTTTTGTTTTTACATATAAATCATAATCGCTCTGATCTGGAAAAGTTTCATATTTGCCAAAAATATCACAAATTTTTAACGATTTTAACTTAATTTCAATTAGAAATTCGTTTGCCGGGACTGTTGTGTCCACATAGCTCATAAAGATGCCAGAGTCTGTTGAGGATTCTGTCATAGACACCAGTTCGTTTGCAAGTTCTAGCTTTTCATTACTAAGCGTAACTTCTAAGGGATCATCCTCGTCTTCAATTTTGAGTATATCCTTTTCCTTTTCCTTTTCCTTTTCCTTTTCCAGTATTATGACTTTAACGACTGATGAACCATTTCCTATAGATTCTGGATTTGTCACGTATAGATATGGACTTCTTTTATAAGCAAATACCTGTAAATGTATACGAATAAACAAACACTGTTGAAGAAACAAAATTGTGCTATCTTTATATTCATTGCATTCTAAAGTTAATGAAATGTCAAGTTTAAGAAGATAAAACCTATTGATATGATCACGTTATATGAGTTTGTAACAGTAATGTTAACTCTATTAATATGATCACGTTATATGAGTTTGTAACAGTTATGTTATACTCTATTGATATGATCACGTTACATGAGTTTGTAACAGTAATGTTTAACTCTATTGATATGATCATGGTGTATGAGTTTGTAACAGAAATGTTTAACTCTATTAATATGATCACGTTATATGAGTTTGTAACAGTAATGTTATACTCTATTGATATGATCACGTTACATGAGTTTGTATCAGTAATGTTTAACTCTATTGATATGATAATGGTATATGAGTTTGTAACAGAAATGTTTAACTCTATTAATATGATCACGTTATATGAGTTTGTAACAGTAATGTTATACTCTATTGATATGATCACGTTATATGAGTTTGTAACAGTAATGTGAAACTCTATTGATGTGATCATGTTATATTTGATTTTTGGTGTTAAAACGCCACTTTTAAGCACCGCTTTTGGGCTATTTCGTGGCGGCCAGTTTTTATTGGTGGAGGAAGCCGGAGCGCCCGGAGAAAACCACCGACCTTCGATAGGAAAACTGACAATCCTAGTCAATTAAGTTTGGAGTCGAGTGCATCCGCACGAGCGGGGTTCGAACTCACAACCTCAGTGTTGACTGGCTAGTGATTACAGTAGTTACTACTTACACCACTCGGCCACCGAGGCCCCTGATTAGTTTAAAAATTACGTTGACTTACAATTATAACTATTTCTTTCTTCCGGGACCTGTCTTGAAATGTTTCAAAAAATGGTAGAGATAGTCCACCAATTTCAGTTAAAAAGTGTTCCGGTAACTTTCCACCTTTAGCTTTTATAGCTAACACAGAAACTTCAGTCGTAGTTATGGCAACAGGTGTAGGGTTCTCATCACTAGTTCGTTTATCTAGAACCATATTTACCATTTCAATCATGTTGTCTTCAGCTGTATTGATTGTTGACATCAACTTCAGTAAAATTATTGCAAAAATAACAATAATTAAATCAATTTGCACCTCTTTGATTCATACTAAAACTTGTTCTCGCTGCGAGAAAACAAAAGAATGTAGTGTCTTTTCTTGTAATAGTTGTCATTTCCCCTTATATGTGTTGATCAGAAATGAGCGTACCTGGTGAGGCAAGTAAAAAAAATCGTGACGTGTCTTTTTGAAATCAGTAATAAACATTGCAATAACTAACACTGTAATGGGTTGTCACAGTACATATCTTAAGGCCTAAAGTTGAACAAAAGGAGACTTATATTTACTTTCATATATCGTTGGAAATTATACATCTGTTTGAGGTGCAAGTTAATAACATGTATATCTCTATAGATATCAAACATATTTTCCCGATAAAAAATGTAAGCTCTTCTAAAAAACAACATCGATTTATTTGAGTTATTCATCAAAGTAGATACATTGAGTATTTGCTTACCACAATTACGTAAAACGATAATTAAAGTGGTATTAAAGTTCAGTTTAACAGATAAATATAGATGATTTTATTTACTTTCTTAAACGTTTATAGGTTCAACAATGCATTTAAACCTGCTGGTTTTATTTTAAATTGCATCTGTTTGAATGAATTCGATAGCATCAAACAGAGTGTTAATTTTACTCTATAAAATTAATCATTTAAATTTTACGCCTTTTGTCTGATGTATCTATCTTTTTGTAATATTTATTTACCTCATCTTCAGCTGCTAGTGTATTTTGTGTTTGTCTTGCGCCTTTTAAAACATCAGAAAACAATTCAGCCATGTCTGAAATTTAAATAAAAACAGTTTACAACATAACAAAATCAAAACATCTAGCAATAATGCCCAACTTCAATGTCTTACAGCTTGATGATAATCCAAATACAGGCGAGTTTTAATTTGGCGAAACGATAATAACTTCTTGATAAGTATATGCATAATTTAACTTCTTGGTGTTTTAAATATAATAAAGTGTTGGGTACTTAATGGTCCAAACGAAAAGTGGGAAATATCGAGCGCATGTTAGTACCCAAAAGTACTTTTTTACACAAGATATGTTGTTCATATAGACAATTATCACTGTAAATTGTTTAGTTGGTACTTGAATTTGCGGGTCCAACACTAGTTGAAAATTGACCACTACCAATGCATGTCATATCAGGTCCTTTTCGTGCCCTATCATTGTTGATATTTTAAGACGGATAAAAATACTTTTTAAGTAGTCAAATGTTAAATGAAATTAAATTATGTAATTTTGTATTATCAAACAAATGATACATGTATGACAGTGTTAATTTGCAAATTATTTCTTGTGTTAAATCAGAGAAACATTTTTATTTTTATTTTTTTTTCATTTAATTCACAATTCTGACTTTTTCTGTGTTACAGTCTATTTTACTTTTTCTAAACAACAGTCCCCAGCAAAACAGAGAAACAGGTGCTTTAGCAAAGTAAGTAGATCCTGTCTAACTTCTTGTTGTCGCTCAATCAAATGATTTAACCAAACACTCATTGAAAATTACAACCTAAAGAGACAACTTCCTCGTGAGGACAGAAATATCCTATTTTAGATCAAAACCAAAGTTGAAACAAACAAAATATGCTGCATGCAAAGAGCTATTTATAACGAAAGGCCAGAAGATTATATGGAGCTACAAATCAAATGAGTAGCCATTTTAATATCAACCAAACTCAAATTCAGGAGCTAAGACATTAAACCAAAATTCCTTAATTAGACCGACTCGAACTCAAATATCAGTGTACCGATGAGTTTGAGGTTAAAATAACAATACAAGAATAAAAAAATTTGCTCATTCCAATACGTCCGTGGCAGTAACAACAAAAGCTGTATCTAAGTGAAATTTTCTTTTTTTAAATCTTATTTAAGATACTAGTGTTGGTTTAAGCATCATGTCTTTCCATAATAGGTGAATGCATGTTTAAATATAAGAAGCATGCACTTAAATTTAACCATCGATAAAAATTTAATTTTGTATGTATACAGATGATAATTATGGCGAGAGATACATTGATAAAAGTTTATGCAGAAAAAAATCTCTTTATCCTTAAATAAAAACTACAGTTTTTAACAGATTATTTGAAATTCATGAATATTTTACCTTGAGAAAAGTCTGACAAATCAACTGTTTCTTCGTCTGAAAATTCCGGACTAATTGTTAACTTGAACAATAATGACGAGAAAATATTGTTTATGGTTTGCTGAAATATATAGAGAATATTTAGTGTCTCAAACAAACATAGAAACAAACCGGGATGCGGTATTCAGTACGTAGGTGAAACTGGACGATATTTATCTAAACGCACTCAAGAGCATCTGTATCGTTTTAAAAGACCCAATAAATTCAAAAGTATCATTTATCAACACCTTAAGAAGCACAATCATCCTATTAAATATTTAGCAGTTCAACCTTTAGAAGTAGTAAATAAGCAGCCTGGTGAATCTCATTCAAAGTTTGTACGATCACGGAAAATAATTGAATTAAATTGGATTAAAAAATTACAGACAGTCTGCCCTCTCGGTCTTAATGATAATATCATGGGAATTGGTAATATATCAAGAACCGATTCTGTTAACATTTTGGATATAGTTTCTAAAACTGTTCGTAAAAACCGTTCTCATGGTCGTAGAAAAAATCGCAATCAAAGAAAATTTCGGACCAATCATACCAATATTTCGGACCTAATTTCTATTTCAAAAAACAACGGCAGACATTATCTGTTAACAAAGCTCTGTTCATTACCGGTTAATAAGTTAAATAAAATTTTAGAGGATTGCAACACAATTTCATATAGCAGTCCTATGTATGAAATCGTTCAAATTATAATGGCATATTTTTATTCTAAACTGTTTTCCAAAATTGATCGCCCTGAAGATCATAAAAAACAGTTTTTTTAAAATAAAGTATGTCAATAAAGGTTTTGATTTTGTAAATATTGCCGGTATTTTTAACGACCATTCTGTTAAAGAACAAATTCCGGGATATTTTGATAATACTGAGCTCCCTCTTATTTGTTATATTTACAAGAAATCTACCCGGAAATTTGTGTTTAATTATAGCCAATTGTGTAAAGATGTTAATATCAGTGAAAATACACCTACTTCATGTAATTGCAGTAATTCCGAATACATTTATGGACCCATTTCCCATGTTATAACAGGAGATCTTAACATCGTTCAAGACCGAGAGTTAAAATCATTCCTCAGTAAAGGACCTAAATATCGTCCCCCGTCAATTATTAATTGGAATGAGTGTCGTAATATCATCCACGACTCACTCCATACTTACTGTTTGAAATGAATAAAACGGGAAAGCTGACAAAAAATCTTTTGACTCTTTTTTTAAATCAGTAATGAAAATAGTTGATATACGTATTCAACATTTTAAAGAACATTTTACTCTTAACAATAACCACAATAAACCTATTTCTCGTATCAAACATAAACTAAAAGAACTAGCCAAGGAATTTGTTTTTGTTCCGGCCGATAAAGCTGATAATAATATTATTATTGTTTGACGTAAATTTTACATTGAGGTTCTGAAAAAAGAAATCACCAATTCACCAACATTCCAACTGACTCCATTTTCAGAAAACGACATCTGTAACAAACATAAACTTTTAGCTACCGCTTTACAAGCAGAACCAAATACAATGAAAGTCCCAACTATGTATTGGCTTCCGAAGCTACACAAAACACCTTACAAATATAGATTCATTTCGTCTTCAAGCCATTGTTCCACTACTAAATTGTCTATTCTTCTTACCAGTACACTTGGTACAATCAAAAACCTGATAATAAATTGTTCAAATAAGGCCTTCGAAAATAGTGGAATTAATTACTTTTGGAGTGTCAAGAACTCGTTGGAAGTACTTGATAAATTACATGCATATATTGGTGATTTTGAATCTGTTCAAAGTTTTGATTATTCTACCCTATATACCACATTGCCTCACATTCTCATTAAGAAAAAATTCACACACCTAATTAAATGGGCATTTAAAAAGTCAGAATGTGATTATTCAATGTTCAAACTCTTTTAGGTCATTTTTTAGTAGCAATAAACAAAAAAACTATGTCAATTGGACATGCTTTGATACTATATATGCCCTTGAATTTTTACTAGATAACATTTTTGTTCGCTTTGGAGATTCCGTATATCGTCAGGTTATCGGAATTCCAATGGGGACTAACTGTGCACCACTTATTGTGGACCTTTTTTTGTATTGCTATGAGTTACAATTTATGACAAAAATCAGCAAAGACCCATCGAAACAACATCTGATACACAAATTTAATAATACTTTTAGATATTTGGATGATATTTTGGCTCTCAATAATGACGACTTCAGTATGTATACTAAAGAAATTTATCCTGTTGAACTTACTTTAAATAAAGCTAATACTAACAATGACCACTGCCCTTTCCTCGATCTTGATATCTATATCATTAATGGAAAGCTTAATACTAAAATATATGATAAAAGAGATGATTTTTCATTTCCTATCGTTAATTATCCATTTTTAGATGGTGACGTTCCCTTGTCACCATCTTACGGTGTTTATATATCTCAACTTGTACGATTCGCTCGTGTATGTAACAATGTTTTAGATTTTAACGAGAGAAATTTATGTATTACTGAAAAATTATTACACCAGGGTTTTCGATATCACAAACTAGTCAAAACATTTACTAAATTTTATCATCGGTATAAGGACATCATTCGTAAACATAGCTCAACAGCCAGACTTCTTATACGTTCAGGTATTTCACATCCAATTTTTTATGGAAATATTCTTTATAAAGCACAAAAATGTCAGTATTCACCTCTGAAGCTAACAACACCTTTAAATAGACTTATTAAGAAGGGATATAGTTACGATACTGTTGTCAGGTCATTAAAGATTGCATATTTTGGCGTTAATATTGATTCACTTATAGGGTCTTTGCATCGGCACTAAACACATTTATTTGAAAACCAGTTGTTGGCATGACACGGGTTATGTTCTTCTCATATATGTTATGATGGTATGATACTAAACCCCTAACGGGAAGGAAAATATGAATCAAAAATTTGTTTTACTTTCGGAGACTGTTTCAGCTCTAGTCGATGACAGCAGTCTGGGAATTTTGTAATAAGAGTACAAGTTTCCAACTGCCGAATAGTCAAGCAGTAATTTTCAATAAATTGGCATAATTGATCACTTAATATTAAAAGCATGAAACTTTGCACATTGTTAGTTATGAGGTAATGAGCATTATGGATATATGGAACCACGGGAAAAAATCCGACATGGCCGCCAAATTAAAAGATACTGGGAATACAACATCATACACTTCATGATTTCTACCAATATGTAAAAGTCCAATACATTTTCAAGTTTGGTATCAAATAAAAATCGACAAAAATGATAAAAGCAAACGTAGATTTTCCAAGTTATCACATTATTTTGCACTTTTTTACCCAAATAATTTTTCAGTCATTCATTTGATGGTTACCATTCGACACCTGAAATGATTTTGATAGAGTAATACTTAAAATATTGAAAATATAACCCCTATCCAAACATATTTTATCTGAAAACTATGAATTTCAAACACTTAAAACACCTTCAATCATTCATCTAAGCAATAATCTGATGAAAATCGGTAGTTATAACATACGACAGATGTATATTCACCAGGCTTGCCTAATGCCATTTCTGAGGCTTCGGTTTTGAAAAAAGATGAAAATTTCATAATTACAGATTTTCCAGACCTTCTCAAATTTTGTTTTTCGTGCATGCAACAAAGACTTTGGCATCTTATGAACCCCATAGATCTATCATTTCCGTTACAAAATATTATGGCAATGGATAATACAACTTCTACCCCTTGCAAATTTGAAGAAGAAGAAAAACCACAAATTAGACAAATGAAGAATTAAAACACAGATCGTAACAATGTTCTAGTTTAAAAATCTTGAATCCATATCAAACACATATAATATTATTATTCTTTATAGTACAAAGATGCTGAATTATAAATGCTAAAAAAATAACACAATTGAAAAACAATTTTGTATTTATTTCTTTTACTGCTTTCAAACTTTTTTTTCTATATTTCTGTAGCTACAGACTTTGAAAAACGGATAAATTTGTATTTTCAAACTTTTCAGATTTTTTTCAATTTTTGTCATTTTATCTGCACTTAAAATGATCATGTTATCCCCATACCTCATATTGTTTTTCGTGAAAAGTATGTATTTGGGGTCTGTTAAGGTTAGGCTATCAATTTTTATGTTAAACAAAATAGAATTAAAAGGAAAACCCATGCAAATGTGAGCAAAAATGTTTGACTGAGAAATACATGAAAGCATAAAACTAAGTATTAATTGTGTTAAAATATCTTTCACTTATATCAAATACTTATACAGGTATTCAAAGCATCATAGATTGTCCAAAGCCATTTCTGTAATTGCAGAATTAAAAAAAAAAAGAACAATTTCAAATTTGAAAATGTTCAGATTATCCCTTATCATGACTTTTCCCCCTTTCTATGAACCAAATTCATTTGTTAACATAGAATTTTATGATCTCAATGAATCAGTAATGCACTTGAATTTTATAAACCACAATTTTGATTAATTCTGCAGTGTCAACAACAGCAAAATTGAAAATAATACCCCTCCCCCAAAAGTTCGTTGATTTATACATACGGCATGTATATGTGGGGAGGGGGTTACTATATTCCATTGATCTGTGGTTTTGCAGTAGAATTGATAAGAGTTCTGTATTCATTTGAAAGCAAATACATTACTGTTGAGGTAATTAATTTTGTATGTTACAGAACTATTCTCATCACATTAAGACAGACACACACATACACACAAAACAGGGTAAAACGAAAATCCAAAAAGGTCCAGTTCCTTAAGCCTGTGACTACAAAAATGACGTTTTGACAATTAGTATTACTTAGAACATTATAAGTATTTGATATAAATGCAAGTAGTTTTACCAAATAATGGTTTAGTTTTTGAGATTTGTTTTTTACAATTATGGGAATTTTTACTCTGTCAACTGTTTTTTCTCTCGAATTGTGTGTTAATGCATGGATTATGACACATTTATTGACCTTAATATATAAATATTTCATATCAGACAAAGCTTTAAAATGCAAAATACTAAAAAATAATTAATCATGTAATTGTAAAATTACTCACGACAGATGTCTTCAGGTCTGCATAATTTTGAGTAATGTGGCTGTCCATATATTGATGAGTTTGTTTAGCGTAAGCTTCAGCATCACTTATATTAGTTAACAGACTTTGGAAAATTGCGCTATACAAATCTTCTAAGCTACCTAATTGTATAAGCAAAATATTCAGACAAACCATAACGTTTCAAATATAAAATTCAAACAAAAAACACTTATTTGCTCTAACAGTATTGAGTTTTCTTTCTTAATAAAATAAGAGGATTTTGTTTTCATTGCAAGAAGATGTTTTTTTTTCTCTTCTAAAGTCGTGAAATTTCCCGTTGTTTTCTCCTTATATCGCAAATGTCATCAATTGATAAAAGTGCATCTTTAGACATAAAACAAGTTGATCATTATAATCATTTGGAGTACCCGTATATATAGTTTTCTTACTTAACTCGAAGTTTTAGAATCATTTGATAAAGGTGCCATGAACAGGTAGATTCTGTTTTGTACTTTCTGTTACCGGGGCCTATACAGAAATATCCAGATAATACCACGTACTGTATAAAATACTTAAGTGCATTATATATAATTGCTGAATGGTTCATGCTGAACAAATCGTAATAACATCATTAACGGTTTATTAACTTTATTTTAAAAGAGTTGAATTTCGATCTGCTTATAATTTCATGTTTCATGTATTATTTCGGAATATACCTTACATTGTTTATACCAATTATCTGGAACACGGATGTTTGGTTATCTGCAATTTATGATCCAAAATATAGTTTTCCATTAGTCTCTTATGGTAACATCCGCCCTTTTAATCGGAATGTTAGATCCGTCATACTTTTTTTCTGTTAGCTTTTTTTTTTATCGAGGATCAATAGCTTTTATATTGTTTTAACAGTTTCAAAATATGCATAATTAAGATTAGATAACAGAGTATGTGTGCTTTGTTCTAACTTATTTCAGCGTTAGACTATTACTTGCTAATGGTATTTTATTTCATTAATCAAATCATTTCTTTAGATAACTATCGTCATTCCTTTACAAATGATCAAGCCTAAATATGATTTTTAAACAGATAATATCGATTCCTATACAAAATAGAATTTTCATTTTGACGGCCAACAATAGAATGTAACATAATTGCTTACCATAATTGCTTGAGTTATACCAAAAGTTGCCTATTCTTATATATGTTTATACATTGTCTAAACTTATTACAAGGTTAAAGATTCTAACGCGTATGCAATAAATTATGTATTATCAAGCTTTCTCGACGTTTTGTTTTATGCTATAGAAATAGTAGAAACAAGACGATGCCGCCTTCCGTTTATTAACGACATTAATTAGAGACGATATTATTTAATTTATTTCCTTTGATCGTGCCTAACCAAAGGCGTCGGAACGGATATGGAGTGAGGGGTTATTCACCTTCCTAAACCTCGAACGTAGGGAAAATAAAACTACGTAAATCGGACTTATCACTGAGCCAATCGTGTTTGAACAACAGCCAAGTTGCCCTTAACTGAAATGATAATATATAAAGATCATATTTTCAGTACAGTTGCCTTACACTGAAATGATAATATATAAAGTACATACTTTCAGTACACTTATCACTTGTAAATCCAGCCTGACAGATACAATCTCCGCCATCATTACAGCTTGCTCCATATTGACAGTCACATGGGTTTTCTAACGATGAGTACACATTTATATTATATAATTTTACGTTTTCTGATAACATGGTAATAAAAATTATACTACTACTTTCAACTTCTTTTACTATACTACTACTACTATATTGTATAACTACATAATTGCTTTATAAGCAAGATAACATGACGTGGTATGGTTTTTTCTCCTGACAAAATCTATTCATCACGTGAAACATAGCATTATACACATTTCTAAGTGACTAACTTCACAATAATTTGTCCCCGCTGAATTAACAAAATATCTTACACATTTGTTTTGCCTGCTTTTATGGGAATCACATAATTGCAGAAGACAAATTAAATTATAGTTACAAGTCTTTTACAGTTATAACTTGTAGAATTTCTTTCATAGCTATAACTTGTAGAATGCCTTTGAAGTTATAACTCGTAGAATGTCTTTCACAGTCAAAACTTGTAAAATGGCTTTAATATTTATAACCTGTAGAATGTCTTTCATAGTTATAACTTGTAGAATGTCTTTCATGGTTATGACTTGTATACTGTCTTTCATATTCATAGTTTGTAGAGAGTCTTTGAGGTATAACTCGTAGAATGTCTTTCATAGTCATAACTTGTAGAAAGTCTTTCATATAGTTTTATTATACTTCATGTCAAAATGCCAGATTTTGATTGGTAAATACGAGGGAGACAATTTACTCTATCCCATGACAAATACTCTATTACCCTTCACGGAGACGCTTGCTCAAGTGTGCGCTTTAATAAATACGGATGCTTGTTATGTATAAGACGACATAGTTTATTACTTTGAATTTGAAATTTAATAGACAGAACATTCAGTATAATAAATTAAATTGTTACCCCTCGAAACGACATTGTCAACCTTGGCTTCGCCTCAGCTGACAATGTTTTCTCGGGGTAACAATCTGATCTATCACCCTCTCAGCTATGTGATATTTATATAATAACTTGTAGAATGTCTTTGAGTTATAAATCGTAGAAAAACCTCCATAGTTATAACTTGTAGGAAGTCTTTGAGTTATAAATCGTAGAAAAACTTCCATAGTTATAACTTGTAGAATGTATTTCACAGTTATAACTTGTAGTATGTCTTTGACAGTTACATCTCGTAAAGTCTTTCATAGTTATATAACTTGTAGAATGAATTTCATAGTTATAACTTGTAGAAAGTCTTTGAGTTATAACTCGTAGAATATCTTTAATAGTTATAATTTGTAGGAAGTCTTTGAGTTATAACTCGCAGAATGTCTCTCATAGTTATAACGTGTAGAAAGTCTTTGAATTATAACTCGTAGAATTCCTTTTATATATAACTTGTAGAATGATTTTGAGTTATAACTTGTAGAATTTCTTTCATAGTTATAACTTGTGGAATGTCTTCCATAGTTAAAACTTGTACACTTTTATATTTATAACTTGTAGAATGCCTTTCATTGTTATTACTTGTAGAATGACTTTCAGTGTCAGTGTTATAACTTGCACATTTTCATAGTTATAACTTGTAGAAAGTCTTTCATAGTTATAACTTGTAGAAAGTCTTTCATAGTTATAACTTGAAGAAAGTCTTTCATAGTTATAACTTGTAGAATCATTATGCCTTTCATAGGTTTATTCCTTGAATGTCAACATCCTTCGATCTACCGACAATTTACCTGTAAAATTGTTTTGGCGTTCGAAGAATAGGTGTAAGTATTTATCACAACAAAAATGTATGCTTATCAAAACAATCATATTAATGAAACAGATAGGTAAATCTAGTTCATGTTTGTCAAATTTTTGAAAATCATTTTTTGCTGTTACTGCTTGAACAAATATGGATTCTCTTAAAATGAAACTTTGAAAAGTGTTGCATCACAAAGTCAACATGTGCATATTGTCAGGAATTCCAGTTTGCACTAATTCTACAAAAGACTCTATGGACTTTGATGGTTTTTTCTTCAATATTTCTATAGTTGTGTGTGCTGTAATATCCACCATATTACTTACTGGAATTTCTTGAAACTTTGTATCTCGTGTTTAATTACTATGTTTTATTTTGTTCAATTGTTCAGGATATTTTTCTTGGTTATAATACTACACCCTTTTTTATTGTAAGTGATTCATAATATATTGTTTGGGTGTTTGTTATGTTCGCAACTCATCAGAATTCTTGTTACCCTATTTATGGATTTTCTTGAAACCTTGTAGAGTTGTGGAAGATATTTTCATACTTTTATACATAGCATAAAAAGAAGAAAAAAATCAATTTTGCATAATATATTATTTATTTGTACACAGAACACACGGAAAACAATACATATAATACAAGCAAACATTTAGCAGATTGGCAAAAAGCACTACATATGTGATCTGATAACAATTTGAAGTTGGTGCTGAATATCACGAGACGGTCTTGGTCTCCATCATCAATGAGTAGGAAGTTGTCGTCTCTCTCCATTTATCCTCTAAGTTGATCTCATGTCTTGAACTTGGCAGTGATGTCTTGCAGGTTGTAAAGGTGGGTATTCTCTGGACTAGTCTTTCAGAGTCGTTGTCCCAGTCTCTGTTGCGTAGTTTGACTAATTCGTCTTAATATATTGTTGGTACTGGATTGCTTTCAGCAATACATCTTTCTTTCATTCTTTTTAGTACTTGATCAACATTGAGTTGAACTGGATCTGATGGTTGATTATGCTGATCTCTGATGTTAACTGGTATTCTATTGAGTGTCTTGATGGTAGCTGTGCAGTCAGACTTTATACATCTCCAGTAGCATCTGTCACCCCGTTTAGTCTTTAATCTGTACTTGTATAGTTGTTGTTTCTTATGATTTTTAAAGTTTAATTATTTGTTTTGTTGAAAATCATATAGTTCATAATTAACTAATAAAATATTTAAAATGATATGGATTTAAATAAACCTTTAGTATCCTTTTATTAGTTTGAAATAATTGTATTTAACTAAAATTTCTTTAATATTTCTAATATGTCTAATGTTAATAAAAATTTCCATTCCCAAAATATTTTTTTTTAATAAAAAGTAATAAAAATATTTTAATTTTCTTTATTTCTTTAAAATTCATAATAATTTTAACCCAAAATCTATTATTTTTTCTTATCAAAAAGTGATAAAATGTTGCAATTTTATCAAGTTCACTAATTATTTTTAACAGTTAAATACGTATAAAAACATTTAAATAGTTAAAAAATCACCTGTTATTATATAAACATCTATTGAAATATTTTTGTTGGCGTTCAAGGAATAGGTAACATATAAAATGTTAGCATTCGAGGAAGACATCCTTTCATAGTTATAACTTGTAGAATGACTTTCAGCGTCAATGTTTTAACTTGTAGACTGTCTTAATGTCTTTGGTAGTTATACCTTGTAGAATGTCTTAATGTCTTTGGTAGTTATACCTTGTAGAATGTCTTAATGTCTTTGGTAGTTAAACCTTGTAGAATGTCTTAATGTCTTCGGTAGTTATAACTTGTAGAATGTCTTAATGTCTTTGGTAGTTATACCTTGTAGAATGTCTTAATGTCTTTGGTAGTTATACCTTGTAGAATGTCTTAATGTCTTTGGTAGTTATAACTTGTAGAATGTCTTAATGTCTTTGGTAGTTATAACTTGTAGAATGTTTTTACCACATACTTGCCGTAAATGCAGATCCTCTCAATATTTTTTCTGCATACAGTTCGAGAAGGATTTTTTTTCAGTTTTGGACCCATATGATTGTAAATGACATAATAATGCTAGTTTTTTCCACAGTTTTATTAAGTATTAAGTGAATACAACTAGACACACCAAGTAAATAAAGCTGGGTTTAGGAAACACCTGCTAAAATGTTTTCTGAATGGAGTGTTAAAAGGAATTTCGTGCAGTGTAAAGGCCCTTACAGATGCCAAACCTCGCTGAATTTTTTCATGTCAAATTTGAAGATAAGGCAATATTATGAATAGATATTCCATTAACATTAAAGACTGTTAAACAGATGCATGTAAAATTAAAATCGATATAGATAATGAAAGTTTCCTCGTTATTGAAACATTCATCTGAAACGTCTGATCAATATCAAAAATACTAAATCAAAAACTCATTCACAAGTAGTTACCTAACCTAAAATAATAATGAGTATTGAACTTTAAAGATTTCGATATTATCTTTTTTATTCTTCCACGAGAATTTCATAATAAGTATTAGACAAAAACAAATTATACTATACACAACTTTGATTGAAATGTTGATTTTTTTTTGCATAAAATATTATTTATAATTGGATAACAATCATTGCAATATAAAAGGAATCAAAGACTTTGCGTTAAACAATTAGATAAAATGAATTCAATTAATAAATACATATTCAACAATTATAAAGTTAGAGTTGTCTCAATGGCAATCATACCATATCCTCTTATTTTTACAGATTTGCGAAGTAGGATTTTAGATAAGCATTTTTAATTTCTTTAAAGATTTGTTTGTCTAGCCCTAACATAGAATTAATAAATGGGATGTTAGATATAATACATGTACCTCAATGATACAGCAACCCAATAAAACAAAACAAAAGACATTAATAGGTCACTTTACAGTTTTCAACAATAGACAAGCGTCAATACATGTCAAGCTCTAAATAGCCCACATTTTTATTTTTGACACTGAAAAACAAAATAGATAAAAAAAAAAAAAAAAAAAAAAAAGATTACGAAGTTGGAGAGCATTGAGGACCCATAGTTCCGAAAGCTTATGCCAAATAAAGCTAAGGTAATCTATTCCTTGGGTAGAAAATCCTTCTTATTTCCAAAAATTCAAAGTGTTGTAAACAGTAAATTTATGACTATGACCATTTAAATGATAATTCATGTCAGCACATAAGTGCTGACGACTAGGCTGGTGATACCCTCGGGGGGAGGAAACCTTCACCAGCAGTGGCATCGACCCAGTGGTTGTAAATAAACTCATCATAGATACCAGCATTAAAATTGTGAACGTCAGACCCGCGTTTTATCTATTTGGTAC